GAGTTGTATGAGTCCCTAATAAAATGATAAAAAATCATTTTATTGGGGGCTCTTACAGCTCTTATAACAATCCATACACCAATTGTTTCAAGCATTTGTACATATTTGTACATATGTTGCCAAAATGTTCTTTTAGACAATAAACGTGATGCCATTACTCTTTAATCTGTCACTGCTGGTAAAGTAGATCATGTGATTGTCTTATTCAAAAATGGCCGATTCTAGTTTATTTCAGCTCGCTCATTCCATTTTATTTGTGACAGCATCCCACTTTCTTTTGCACGGTCCATATTTCAATTGCTCATGGATGTTTGCAGTTTTCTTCTTGCTTTGCATTGAGCCATATCCGTGAGTGAAGGTTCTACTCCATCCACATCATTCAAGTTGACTTGACTTTGAGGAGGTAGCTCTTCTCCAGTCGTATTTTGGATGCCTTCAGATTTGAGGGTCTCATCTTCCAGCACTGGATCCACTGTATCAGCCAACGTTCTGCTGCTACCCATAACGTTTTCACTGCCCCCCACCCACCTTTTCCCCCCAGAAGTAGATCACCAGACCCTCTACCCAATCTGTCTTAGTCTGGAAGCTCTGCTGAAACCTCCCCCCGCATGTGTGACCCCGCTGGCAGTTGAAATACTGGTGGCAGACATGCCAGCCTCAAAGCAGCATGCAAGCCATCACAGGACAACAGTCTGACCAAGGTGTTCTGGCCCGGAAGGAGCTGGTCAATCACCACTGGGGAAATGGCTTAAGTCTTGTTAACACAGAGAGGTGGCCAAATGCCAAGAGGCCCAGGGATACTTTATTAAGTCAGACCCTGGTGCTGGAAATAAAACTCCCAATTAAACACTTCCTCTCCCGGAAACGGCCTTGGCATCTGTAATCAAGCTAACAGCCGGCCTTCCAGGTGGGTGTGGGCACTCAGGGCTGTGAAGAGCTGCTCATGAATCCATTAGCTCCTGCACCCTGGCAACAAGGGTGGCCAGTAAAGTGAGGTGCTGGTGCATAGTAAGCCTTCAATATGCGGCCACAGTAGTGTCCCTGCTGCTGCCCGCACCCTGACTTATCAAATGGGCACATCTTCACTGCAGCTGGACATGGAAGCTTGGCACCACCCCAACCAGAACTCCTCCGGGTCCCCCTCTCCCCTTGGCAACCCAGGCCTGTGGTAAACGCTCCCAGCTCAGCATCACTCAGGGGAGGCACCTGTCAGAGTTTCCAAGAATTGTGAATGACTGGCGGTTTTGAAAGCATTTTACGACTCTCATATAATTAGAACTAAACCAACAAACAGGTAGGGATCAGGAGGGGGTGCAGCTAATGAGGCTGGAATGATTTGTAACGAGCACATCAGCTGTTTGTGGGTAAACTCGGCTGCTGAAGGGCCCTTAGGCAGCCAACAGGCTCTCTGCAGCCACTCAGCCCTTCTCCGTGAAAATCTTGTTTACACTAGGCATTTCCTTTGAAACCCTCCCTTCCTTCTTTGACTCATCTGCTTTGCCTCTCTTGGCATACACCTGACTCTCAGGGGTTTGGCTGGCATCTGTGGGGCACTGGATAATCCTGAGTATGGAGACCTGGCTCTCTGTCTCCATCTGCCTGTCCTCTCAGGCCAGGTCCGGCATCACCTCTCCCTGGAAGGCTTTCTGAGGCCACACCCCAGGCAGAAGAGCTAGCTCTGACCCCCACTCCACCTCAGACCTGGAAGGTTATCACGGTTCCCATTTTATGGATGAGGAAACCGAGGCTTGGAAAGGCCAGTGGGAGCTGTCCAGGGTGCCAAAGCTCAGTGCGGGCAGAACCAGGAGTCCTCATTTCATGACCTGCCAGTTTTGGGAAGTCTGTCTGAGGGGCTGACCCACTTAGAACTATGGTAGAAGGAGGGATCCCCCTTCTCAACACACACACACACACACACACACACACACACACACCCCTTCCCTAGCTCCTATCACATATCCAGAAAATGTTTGGACTCTAATTCTTTCTCTAGCTGTCTCCATCTTCTGCCTTGCTCTGTACCCCAGAAGGCCAGCCCCCCGTGGATAGCATCCTTTGAGCTCCTTGCCTTCCATGAGGAGCTGTGGGAGCACAGTGAGTTAAGCATTGGGATGCTAACCACAAAGGCAGCAGTTTGAGCCCACCAGCAACTCCATGGAAGGAAAATGAGGGTTTTCTACTCCTGTCAAGAGTTACACTCTCAGAAACCCACAGGGGCAGTTCTACTCGGTCCTACAGGCTCGCCATGAGTCAGCATTGACCACGTGGCCATGGGTGGGCCTTCTACTGGGTTAATCCCCTGGGATGCACCAGCGGGGAGGCCGGAGGGTGGGAGGGGAGAGAGGCTGTGTATTTATTTGTACCCTGCTTCCTCTTTGATTTACTTCCCAGGCGCTGGCCGTGGCTTCTCCTCTCTGTGGTCACAGCCTCGCCGGCCTCCATGTCTGGCTCCAGACATTGTGGGGGCTCCATAACCCTGTCCCTGCCTCCTTGCTCCTCGGGTCTGGGGATGCTAAGGCTTCCCATTACTGCAGCACCTGGGGATGTATTTCTGCCCAGCCCGCTTCCAAAATCTCGGTAGATTTCCTGTTGGTGTCTCATCTGATAGGGACCCTTTCTTCCTCCTCATCCGCAACCCACACTCTGACATTTCTCCACAGGCTGTTCCCTTGCCCAGAATAAGAACGCTCCAGGGCCACCCCACCTGTTCCCACCTCCCCCAGGTGGGAGTCAGGGAGTCACAGGCCAGCCTCTGCCAGAGGGAGCGGCCCAAACAGGCCACAGGCAGCATGCCCACTGCCTGCAGGTGCGGTGGGTGTCTCTGAGAGTCCCTGACTCAGTTGAGGGGAGGGGTAGGCTGGGCAGGTGGTGCTGAGTGTCACGGAGGAGTAAATTGGTCTGGGGAGTGGGGTGCAGGGAGGGGGGCTGCAGAGGCTGGCAGGGGGCCTGTGCAGGGCCGTTATCTTCATGGAGAAGGCAATAAAACCATGTTCGCTCATAAACGGGCACCACCAGGACCTATTTCCTGCTCAAATAAAATTAAAGGTGATGGATGGAGCTGCAGGCAGCGGGCAGAGCTGGGGGAGGCTTAGTGCTGAGCGATGGGCCCTGTCCTGGGCCTGGCTCCCTGGGGTCTAGAGGCCTGGCAGAGGCTGGCCAACTGTTAGTCCCAAACCTTCAAGATCCACAGAAAGAGAGAGAGAGAGAGAGAGAGAGAGAGTGTGTGTGTGTGTGTGTGTGTGTGTGTGTGTGTGTTGGGGGTGAAGGGCCTGAGGAATAATATGGTGAGAAAAAAAAACAGCTACCATTTGTTGAGGACCTACAATTCACCCAACACCTTCCACGTCATCCAACTCAGTACCCATCTCCCAGACGCACAAACCGAGGCTCACAGAGGTCTGGGAAGTGGCCTGAGCTCACCCAGAACCATCAGGCTACAGGACCCAAATGCTTTTCCACTTAGGAAGAGGGCGAGCAGGCAGCTCAGGGTCCTGCCTAGCCAGCAAGACACTTGCTTGTCTCCGTGTTCAGACACAGGCACAGCCGGACAGTCAGACCACATGACAAGCAGGCGGGAGTCCGGGGAAGCAATTCAACACACTGACTGTGAGCCAGACACCTGGAGGGATAGCTGGGTGAGCTTGGGAAGGTCACTTTGCATCTCTGGGCCTTCGTTTCCCCATCTGTACAATGGGGGGATAACAAGTGCTTACCTCAGAGGGTGCTTGTCAGGAGGAAAGGTGTGTCCGTGCGGACAGCGCTTCCCACAGGCCCTGGTTCGGGAAGACCCGTGTGTGAAGGGCTGAGATGCCCTCTGTGTTTCATGGAGCCTGCCCCCAGCCATGCCTGAGGTGGGCGTTCTGTGGGGGTGGCTGAAGGACAGAGCCAATTCAGGAGTGCCCAGTCCCTTGTGCCGAGGGGAGGCACCTGTCAGGCTCTGCCAGGTCCCTTGATGTTCCACAAAGAGTCTGCCTCCCTCAGGAAGAAGACCTTTGACAACTCGTGGGCCGGCCTCATCCTCACCCTGGCTCTGGGGCAGGCTTCTGCTGGCTCTCAGGCCTTTCCAGAGCACCGTGGTGAGAACCCAGGCTGGCTCCTGGGTTTTGGTTCTGTTACTCCCCACGCCACTTGGAGCCAGGGACTCAGACCTTGCAGGGCCTCAGCTTGCTCCTCCACACAGTGGGCACCACCTGTACACTACGTCTTTGGTCAAGGTGGCATCCCCGGGAGGTGTATGTGGTTAACACACTCCTCTGGTCATGGAAAGTTTGGATGTGCGAATCTACTCAGCGGCACCTTGGAAGAAAAGCCTGGCGATCTCATTCCCAAAAAGATCTACTCTGACATGCAGATGACTCGATGGCCACAACTTTGTTTTAGGACAGGACCTGGCACAAAAGAGGCACTCGTTACATATCAGCTCTCGCTGCCATGTGGAGAGGGTGCTTATCATCTCGTTAGTTCCCCTGGTGTCCGGCTGGGGCTGGGCTCAGTGTGGGGACCTGGGATAGCTGAGTAGCAGTGTGTGTGTGTGTGTGGTGGGGGGCCCGCGGGGAGCATATTAAATGTCCCTGAAGTCAGAGATCCGCTACTCCAGCAGCCCTCCCATGACCCAGGTTTTCTCTCCCTTATCAGCTGGAGTAAGTTGAGGAAGGCCTCACCAATGCCCTGACCCCACCTGGTTTGATCAGCGAGTCCTGGAAACTGCCGGGAGTGCAAGGCGCCCCTTCCAAGTAGTGGGTAGCTGCACACATGCATCATAAACACACTTCAAAGCTATGGCATCCCTATGCCCCCCTCCCCGAAGATCTGTCCCGATCAGCTTGACTACTGATTAGGGGAGTTATGTTGCTCTTTTAGGCAAGTCTTCATACAGCCACTCACCCCTGGTACACACACCCTTGTCAACTTCATGCCCTCACTCCACATGCCCCTGCCCCCCAGGAAAGGCTAGCAGACCATCCACTGGGAGGTAGGGAGGGCTGTGTGTCAAATGAAAGGAGCCCTCCCCACCCCACCCCACCCCCATCTGCCTAGCTCCCAGCCTCCTGGACACAAAGGAATGATGAAGTGTGGTCAGGGGACTCACCACTGCTGGCCCAGGGCAGGTACCAGGGGCAGCTGACATTCACGAAGGAGCTGGGTAGTCCATCTGGCCAGCAGGCATAGTCGTCAAAGGTCCGGTTGCAGAACAGGCCTGGGTGGAGAGGGGACAGTCTTTGAGTTCCTGCCTGGCCAGCTGTGTCCACCCAGTCCCTCCCCACGCGTCCACCACTGAGGCCGCCAGCTGGCAGAGCAAAAACCTGCACTGGCTCACCTCTGCTGAGCCCAGCAGGAGAAGAGCCGAGGGACCCTGCCACTTCTCAGTCCTAGGACCTTGAGCAAGTTGCTTCTCTGAGTCTCTGTCCTGCCTGCGAAATGGGCGAGAACCCTGCCCCACAGGGCTTTGTCCGGATAAATAACTGCTTTATAAGAATGCATGCTACATGGATGCAGACCCCCATCGCTCAATAATGCTCAATCAATGATTCCTGAAGGCTCATTGGAACACTACCCTTCGCAGATGACAGGGAGGCGGCAGCTCACAGGCAGGGCATACCGGGCATTAGTGCCGCAGCAGGATTTGAACTCAGGCCTGTCTGGCTCCCCTCCTAGGCCTTGTCAAACCCTCCACGAACTGCCCCCCTAACACTTAGTCCTGTTGCTGTCGTTGTTAGGGCGACAGAACCAAACACTGCCGGTCCTGTGTCATCTTCACCATCTGTTTGGGCCTCTGCTCGCTGAAGTCACCACTTTGACCCATCTTGCCGAAGGCCTCCCTCCTCTTTTTATTTTTTTACTTAGCCGATCCTCTGTTTTGCCAAGCGGTATGTCCTTTCCAAGGGGCCGGACGGAAGACCCATTTCTAAGGAGCGATCTGGTTGTTCTTCTTTCGGTCAGCTTTGTTCAACTAGCTCCTTGCTATTACCATAAGGCAAACGCACCCCCCCCCCCCATTCAGGCTTCCCCCTCACTGCCCAGCTTCCATGTGCAGATGAGGAGATTGAAAATACCAGGCTGGGTCCAGGGAAACATGCTCCTAGGCGAGGCCGCATGCACAGCTATTCCTACAAAGACGTTTCTTGGGCCTCTAGTTGGTGCGGACGGTTCTCACTTTCCATGGACCTCATGAGCAGCCACCACCCATCTCCCGGGGGAGGCATAGTGTTGGTATGATGCCAAGCAGGTTTCAGACCAATCTGAAGACTAAGAGGGGACGAGGAAGAAAGAGCTGGCGGTCCACTTCCAAAGATCAGCTAACAAATGCCCCCCAGGGATCACAATGGTCCAATGAGCATGCGCTCCTGGGGGGTGGGTGCTCAGGACCAGGCGGGGTTTTGTTCTGTTGGGTGTGAGAGTCACCATGAGCCAAGGGGTCAACTGCTTGGCAGCTGGTGGTAATAGTTCACGTCCAGGCAGGGAGATGCCGTGGAAGATGATGAAGGGAAAGGGCCAGGCCCTCCTCTTTGGGGGGTAGGATTAGCACCTCTAAAGCCAACTTGCAGGGCAAATGGAGAAAAGACAAAAGCCAGGGGAGAGCCCAGGGGTAAGATTTCCTGGAGGAGGGAGCCCCACATAAGCCGGGCTCAGAAGAAGCCGTGATTTCATATTTGGGGAAAACAGGGCAGGTGCAGGAACAGCTTGGACAGGGGGCAGGTTTTCAGAAAGGTATGGCATCCTAGAGTCAGAGGGCACCCAGCCATGGATGCCCCCAAAGCTCCCAGGGCTGGCTGAGTGGGGCGCAACATGCAGACTCACCTGTGGCCGGAGACGGGGCCTCCTTCAGAAAGCGTTGGCACTCATGCTGGTATTCCCGCCATCTCTGCACAGTCTCCGAGAGAGACACGGTGGCACCCTGTGGGGAACCAGAGGGGGGGCGGTGTGGGTCCACTCTCTGCCGTGCCCCCCCCCCCCAACTTGGTTTCTTTATCTCCTGCCACCTCGGAGGCCCAAACCTGGCCAGGTGCCCCCAATCGCTGAAAGAAGGGAGAGAAGGAGCCACTATCACAAAGGAGACGTGTCTCCGTCCTCATCTTGTGAGGGAGGCAGGTGCCCAGCAAACCCAACCCATGGCCGCAGCCTGATAGGACAGACCGGAGAGAGCCGCCCAGTGAGTTTCCAAGGCTGTGATCCTGACGGGAGCAGACGCCACGGCTCCCTCGGAGCAGCTGGTGGGTTTGAATTGTTGACTTGTGAGTTGACAGTCAGGCATTTAACCAGGGGGCCATAGTGGGTACCTGGCCAATGTCTATTGAATCAGTTCTTTGGGGGAGTCGATGGGAAGATGAGGGTGTGTATGGTTATACTTGGGGATGCTAACAGCAAGGCCAGCCGTTCCAAACCGCTAGGTGCTCCCCGGGAGAAAGATGGAGTGTTCGGCTCCCGTCAAGAGTGCGTCTTGGAAACCCACAGGGGGTGTTCGACCCTGTCCTCAAGGGTCATTTTGAGTCGGCATCGACTCGGTGGACATGAGTTTTGATCTTACTCCTGGTCTCATCAGATGTCACCTAAGAGGCCCAGGGCCTCCCCACGGTCACTGGCTCCTCTCTGTTCATCGCACAGTCAGCCCACCTGCGAGGTTCTTGCACGTTGCATCATGGTAGAAGGGAAGGAATCCGCACGTCCAGAGTAGGATGAGGACTTACACAAGGTCCCTCAGCTCCTTGGGGAACTAGGGCTAGAGCCCTGAGCGCCCCAGATCAGGGAATGGGATGGAATGTGGGGTGTGGTGGGATTCAAAACTGCAGAGCCTCCATTAGCCTCCCATGTGCAAAATATGCAAGCAAGTTATGAAGTTATGACCGTCGGTGTTCTCTGCCAGTGTCTGCTCACAGCAATACAACCAACCACCTGCTCGGCCCTCTTTCTACCAACCAGGAAGAGGAGTCCCCAAAACCTGGGGGAAGGGGTGAGAAAGTTCTAGCATATCGAGGGCAGGTCTGCAAGGAGAGAGATCCTCATCTCTGTGTGTAGGGGTGTGTGTGCCTCGATTTTCAGAGAAGGGAACAGGATTCTGAGGACACAGCCCCCCAAAGGTCCACTGAGGTGAAAAACGGCACTTCTGACGTGTTTGTGAATTTCCTTTGGATATGCTTTGGGATTGTGGTTTTAAAGATTAATTTATTGATTTCTGAAAGGTTTTCGAGATGGTATGTCGGCTTGGAGGCTGCTGACGCCGAGGTGACCGTGGATGGGTTCCTGTACGTATGTCATCCAGGACCTTCATCAAAAGGGTGGCAGTGGGGACCCAGCCAGTGGTGGGTCGCGCTGAGAAAGACCCGGCAGTGGGCTTTTCCACATGGGGTCGCTCTGATTCAGAATCGACTCGCCAGCCCCCGGCCACAAAACGCGGGGCTTACAGCACAATGCCACGTTGTAAAATCACACCTTACCAGCGTGTGCTGAAGGGAAAATCGCTCATTTTTCAAAGCCCACTGTCTTGACTCGTGGTACCTGGAGAACAAGATGGAACCGGTGTCCAGGGAACCTTTACTTCCCTGGTCTGAGCTGGGTTTATACAACACTCTCACCATCTCGCCCCGCCCTGAAAGACACAGGGTGGGATTTCTCAAGGGCTCATCCCTAGCTGTGGAGGAAGCCCCAGAGGAGGGGCCAAGCTTGTGTACAACTCCTTGAACTAAGTGTGCTGAGGACACAGGTGGGGGCTGCCCTGCAGGACACTGCTCTTTTGAAAGCAAAGGTCAGGTGCATTGATTCCCAAACCAAACTCCCTGCCGTTGGGTTGATTCCAACTCACAGCGACCCTACAGGCCAGGGCAGAACTGCCCCTGTGGGTTTCTAAGACCGTAACTCTTTATGGGAGCAGACAGCCTCGTCTTTCTTCAGCAGAGTGGCTGGGGGTTCGCACTGTTGACCTGTGGCTGGCAGCCCAACAGGCTTTACCACCAGGGCTCCTAAGGAATCAGACTCAACAAAGACCGCGTCATCGTTTCAGCCACAACAGAGGGACCGTCGCCGTTCCCCGAGAGCCAGTCCACATCAGTCTGCATCAGCCCCTCCTCCCTCTTTCCCTTCTCCCTTCTTCATCCAGGTGAAGGTGTTCTCCTCACATCCCCTGAACGCAGCAGCTTCTGGTGGGAGGGCTAAGAGATGGGAGAAATTCCCCCTTCCTCGCTGTTTCTTACAAAGGAGAGCCGGCAGGGCAGAGTGTCTGTGCTTGGAGTGGGTCGGGCCAGTCTGGGGTGAAGAAACCCAGGGGAGCTAGAGGTCTCCTGCTGGGGGTGAGGTTGTTAGAGGTTAAGGACAGCACAGTGAAGACCAATCTGCTCAGCCACACCCCAGGCAGCCTCCCTGAGGACATGGCTGTGTTTCCCCTCTGACTGGGGCTCCCTGAGGGCAGGGCTATGTCTCCCCTGGGACTGGGGCTCCCTGAGGACATGGCTGTGTTTCCCCTTAGACTGGGGCTCCCTGAGGCCAGGGTTCTGTCTCCCCGCAGACTGGGGCCCCACAGAGCAGGCTCTGGTCTTCTCCCCGCACCAGCTCATGGTTGCCAACATTTGTTCACCAATCTTCCCTTCACCCCAACCCCAGCACCAACTCCCCAGACTTCTGCCCTCTCCCCCAGCGTCATTCACCGATGCCCTCACAATGCCAGTATTAAGGGTACTGGGTGCAGAGTCCAGAGGCCTGAGGCACACAGGGGACCAAAAAGGGGGTGACGGGTTGGAGGTGGAGGAGAGATGTGGGCCTAGTGAGGAGGGAGGTGGGCTTAGAGAGAGCACAGTAGGAGCCAAGGTGCAGAGGGGGAGGGTGCTCCACTGCTCTGACCACGGGGGTGTTCAGAAAGAAATTCTGGAGGAGGCAGAGAAGGACGGAAGGGCTCTGAGACATATCTGAGGCCCCGGCCTGGGACAAGGCTGGGGGAGAGAGGCTGGGGGCTCCCCACTGCCAACAGGCCCAGGAGTCCGGTAACACGATGCAAGTGACCGCTCAGGACTGGGGACTCAGGGCTTCATAGATTAGATTGGTGATGTCCTACAAGAGTTTTACCTTCTTCCAGCCTCAGCATAAATGACAGATGGAGATAATAGCCCTCATCTCTGCCCCCAAAGCCCGCATGCAAGCATGCACGCACGCGCGCGCACACACACACACAGGCACGCACACACACAGGCACGCACACACTCACACACACACAGGCACGCACACACACAGAGCTGTCGAGATAAACGAAAATAAGAAGCAGGTGGCACGTGCTCCATCAGCACCCGTCATTCTCATCGGCCCTGCTCTTTCAGGGAGAAGGGAGGGTGGGACAGGGTCACATGGCCTCCTGGGGAATCTGGGCTCCAGGCATCCCTCATGGCAAAGAGCAGCAAACTCCCAGGAGGAGAAAGGGACTATATTTTCATGCCCAAGGACCAACCATCTCTCTTAATTACCGACAAAGTCCAGCAGCACTCCGGCTGTTGGTGGGGGGCGTGGAGAAGCTCTGGGTCTATGCCCTTAGCCAGGGGACCCTGAGGAGGCAAGACCTCACCCCCATAGCATCCTCCCATGATGCCGGTCTCAGGTGCCGAGTGAGGGTGAGGACACAATGGCAGGTGCCCCCCTGTGCCTCCCCAGGGCATCAGAGCTGGCAGCAGCCACAGAGGGGGCAGGTCTGAGGGGTGGGGCTGGGGCAGGTTGAAGTCAAGACTTGACCCACTTCATGGGATCTCTCTGAGGTGGGAAAAGGCTAGCAGGGGCCCCGCTTCGATTAGGGGCAACGACGACGGGGAGGGTGTGTTTCTCAGCTTCAGGAGGCGGGGAAGGGCCAGTCCAGAAGGAACGATATAGAAAGGCACAAGTCCTTGGGTGCAATCGCAGCTCTGTCTGTTAATGGATGGCCGATGGGACCCACTTGAGCTCTGGCGACCTCCGTGTCCCCATTGGTAAAATGGACATAGCATGCTTCTCAAAGGGTCCGTGCACAGACCCAACAAGGGAAGGTGAGTGGTTGATCAAGAAGGTGATCAAGAATGATCAAGCCCTGTACCACAGAGCCAGAGTGGGTGGCCTCCTCTACAGTGGGGCCTCCCCTACCCCCCCACTGACCCACATGGCCTGTCCCTCCTACCCTCCCTTTCTCGGCCCTGTGGCAAGCGGAGCATGATGTGGGGTGGACAAGACCTCTCTTGTTCACCTGCTGCACACAGGAGCTCAGGTGAGCTATGTGAGGAGGAGGAGGAGGAGGGTTCTCAGAGGCGGTGGACATTCCAGTACCCTGGGAAGGCACTCCTTCTTTAAAGACTGACTGGCTGCCCAGCTGGAAAAATTCCTCCTATAATTTTTCTTTCTCAGTGTGAATACCGGCTCTGAGCCTTTGCTCTTTCAGGAACCACTGTAATTATAAGGAGGAGAAGAAAGACACCTGGCCCTTCTGAGCCGAGGGGGAAATGGGGGGAGGCCTTCCGGCAAGAGCAAGATGGGGCCCAAGTCAGACTTGAGGGTCCTCCCAACTTGGCCCTGACTCTGAAGTTCCTCAGCCCCTCTTCCCAGGACCCCTAACCTCTACTCTCTGCCATCGTCCAGAGCCCAAACCAGGCCCTGCACCCCAAGGGTTGCTGTGAGGCCCTGTCTCCCACCCACTGTTTTTTCTTTAGGTTTTAGGTCTTTGAGCACAAGGGCTGCACTCACATAGACACACTGCCACCCACACACGTCATCAAGCACATTCTGAGAAGCACCTCTCTGCCTCTCATAGAGGACCTGATACAACACACAGATAGTCAGGCACACACACACACATACACACACACTGAGACATTGCCCTCGTAACACACACACACACACACACTCCTACCTGACATATACTCAACCCACACTGCCACACGCATGCAGAGTGACACCACACAGACACTGTCACCAGCACGCTGCCTCTCTGGCACTCTCGGGAAGACACCTATTCACACGCCAGGATGTCTGCACTACAGGCAGTGACAGTCCCCTCGACGCAGTAGCTCACACACAGGGTCACACACGCATACACTACTGAGACGTTGTTGCTTCGTACACAATCACCCTCCCACCGGCAGCCCATTGGGCCCGGGGACATGCACAACTGCACAGAGACACGGGTCTCCTACAGACCACTCCTCCTCTTCCAGCTCGCTCTTCTCTCTGTATCTCTGTCTGTCTGTGTCTCTCTCTCTCACACACAGACACAAACACAACACACACAGGGGTCTGCTCAGGGGCGGGCGGCAGCCCAGGAAGGCCCTGCGCTTTCATCAGCAAAGGGCAAGAAGTGGTTTCTTGGTCAACCCTGCCCCAGCTCCACCCTGAGTCCGTGTCCAGGAGAGAGCCCGGCTCGGAACAAAGTCCAACCGGCCATTCATTGCCCAGCATGGGCTCCCTCCACCATTCACTAGCATGCCCCCCTCCACAGCCTACTGCTGCCGTCCTGGAGAACGCTTCCATGCTCCCAGGGACCAATGGGTCTGCCACCTGAGGGATCAAGTGACTAAAGCCCCGCTTCCGGGTGACAGTGTTTCAATCCTCTCCACATCTCTCTGTGCTAGAAGAGGAAATGGAAGAGCAGGATGGCCAAGTTAGGGTCTCCCTTGGGTGTCAGAGGTTTGTCTGTCTCCTCA